TCACGGGGCTTTGAACTAGTCCACTCGCCCGAAACGCATTGTATTATTTTAAATAATAAAGACGCATCTAAACTAATTCTGCTCGGTCCGTGGCGCATGGACGTAGGGTATTAAATTAAATAAATAATTAACACTCCACCGAGGAGGTTGTGAACAGAGTCGCGCACGAAGCTATAACTTCGAAACAAAATCTCGCCCTCCCTCTTTTATTCACTCGTTTCCTGGCAATGATGAGGCACGAATAAAGCCAAGAGGCAAAATATTCCCGCCTGAGCCAGGAAAACGACTTTAGGATACAAAAGCGGGAAACCCGACCAAAATTGACCCCCGGAATAACCCAGCTCGGCTAGGCTATCAGGGACGCGTAACGCCCCGACCCGATAAATTAACGAAACACACCCGGAAGCGGGTTACACTATGTTGGACAACATGAAACCAAACCTTAGACAACAATTAGATCTGAAAATTTGGAAGGAACAACAAAACCCAACTCAAAAGAAAACCTTAAGAGCATTCAGTGAAGGGGAAGAAGTATGGATGAAAAAAGAGAATAACCCTGGTTGGATAGCAGGAACAATAGTCAAACGCAATGGCTTATACTCTTATGAAGTCATGTGTGGTGGAGTGATAAAAAGAAAACATTCAGATCAACTGCGAAGAAGAGAATGTGCGGTAGACAATGGGGAGGGAAAAATATATTGGAACCACCTGATAATTTGGTTTTATGTTTATTATGAAAATGTAAACAAATAATGTTATGTTTTGTTCTGTGATTAAATGAGTTTAAGTTAGTTCTTGATTTTATTTCAGTCACGATCCATAGTTTGCGAACCGCTACATAGAACAAAAATAAGAATATAATTATTAGTCAACTGAAATTGTTAAATGTATTGGTAAAAACTGTTTCGACCGTATTGGGTCACGTCAGGCAAGGGGTAGGCAACAGCTTAAAAACATAAAATTGTACACTTTTACTTATCATACAAATTATATATCTGACTAGCTGTACCCGCGGGCTTTGCCCCGTTTTACTTCATAAGTGAGCTCGTTCGCATGGCTCAATCACGTCCTGGTATAAGTTCGTTCGCTACGCTCACTCACCTTTAGGTTGGCTGGGACCGATTTACTTTTTCATTTTGATGTCCCCAGAGGCCAAAAACTCCATTCGTTCCAATTTTATATGTATGTCCGTCCAGACGATAACTTGAGTCATTTTTGTCCGATTTTTATAAAATTTGGTTTGAAGGTGTAAGGTGGGATAAACTGGAACGAGTTCGCCAACCAGTATTATCGGACCATGGGTGTTTACATAAATGTTTACGTTTATTAACAAATGTGTAAGACTTACAAATATGAAAATAATAAACAAATCTACATTTACATAGTATTATTCTACATTACTGTAGAAAGTATTCCATAAATTCTGGACGTAACTGTACACTACATGTGTTACACCATCTGGATCGCCTGGAACAGCTCTTATCTTGGAAACGATTAGGAGTTTCAGTCTTCTCAGGATAGTTTCCTTCATCGTGAAACCTAATATCTTGCTCCACTCCTGGGGCCCATTTCATAATAAAGTACAAACTAATATTATTAGTAAATCAGCTGATCGCCCAATGCAAATCTTATGGAAATTACAAGTTACAAGTTGTAACTTGTAACTTGTAGTTTATTATGAAATGGGCCCCAGGTCTGGCTCAAGTTGAAAATTGACGTCCCGCTTTCTTCCGTCTGCTAGCTATTGTAATCATTCCCTCAGCAATATTGGCTTTAAACTCAACAAAGGAGAGTTTACTTCCAGTTTTATTCATAAACTGATACATGCCCTACAAGTTGGTTTTTGGATAGCGCAACATTTAGGAAATGAAAGAAGATTCTCGGGTAATATCTCTTGTTTTACAGACTGTGTGGATAATGAGCTACCATACGGTCGGCGAGGTCAACACCTCCCACAAACTTATTGTAGATGGAAACAAAAATTGCCTCATGACTTCCACATACTTTTTTTCTTTGTTGTCCCATCGTTGACATGTGTCAATCGGTTCAACCTCTGCATAATTTGACACGAGGGCAACTACACCTTACCACACTAATATTTTCCTCTGATATGGTACACTAATTGAGCCCCTTTCCTTCTCCATTAGTTCTTAATTACTCTAAAGTATTTTATCTACTCCACTAAGCCTGTTTGTTCTTAGAGTCCCTACTACGTGGATGCTACGTTTTGCAAGTAGAAGAGGAATACTTAGAAATAAATTATCTAAAAATAACTTATGGTTCAACCCTTCAATAGTTTCACAGAACCTCAAGACTGTGTCTGCAATGACACCTAGATTTATAGCAGTTTCGCTTAATTTTCCTTGGTAAAGTTTAAATTTGTGGATGTATCCATCATGTCCAGCGAGTACCAAGGTTTTGAAACCCCACTCTTAGGGTTTTGATTTCAGGTCAACTGTTACAATGGTGTAGCGCATGACTGAAAACAATTATTAGCGGTTCAAGGATGGGCCTAATCTTAACAGAAATATATCTGTTGTCAGCAGGGATAGTATTATCTTCAAATTGTATAAAACGTTTGATCTTTTTGAAATTTCTTTACAGGCATGGCATTAACAATTAAATCCATTCGAAGTGCCGCATTGTTACTCCAATACATTCTATAGTTTAGATAATTTATGTATTGCATAATTTTACAGTATTTAGGGCCAAAAACATTTTTTATCGAATTTCCCTATAGGGAAGTGGTTATTACTGAAGGTCTCATGGTAAGACCTAGGCCCGGGACTGATTTAAAGCTAGAATGGATGCAGTCGACCAATATGATTCAAACCTTTTTTTTCCAAGAGGGACAGGATGGCAACATTTTTTTAATTTTTTTTTTTGCATATTTTGGTTTCTTGTTAAGTTCTCTTTAAGAAAATATAAGTCGTTTTGCCGACAAAATATTTACATGAGTTAAAATGCATAATAAAGAAACGTAGACACCAAGATTTTGGCTCTCGGAAACCTCCAACTCACATACAATTCATATAGTACCCTTGTAATACAACATCAATGATATATTATTCTGTCATGTTGGCAGTACAGCTTACAGATTCTGAGCAGACAGCCGTTGTTCTGTTATATCTGCAAATTAGTCCTAGGCCTACCCCAGAAAACACTTCTTCTAAGAGTTCTTCCTCAAAGAAACTGTCTCTCGATGGCTATGACGAATATAAGGCAGTAGGTGAAGGCAATGTCATATTTGACATAGACCTACTAAATCAAAGCATAAGAACATTTGTAAAGTGCAAGCTTTGACAAACTGAACAACTCTTGACCATGTTCTCGATCTCAGAGTCCATTCCAGGCCAGAAAACAAAGCTACGGGCTAAAGATTTCATCCTAGACTCTCCCGGGTGCTCAGAGTGAAGTAAAATCAAGATTTCTTTACGATGGGTGGGTGGTATCACCACTCTGCTTCCCCACAATAAGCAACCTTTTTCCACAGACAGCTGAGAACTTTTATTGGCATATGGTTTTACAGTTTCATCATTTACAAAATTAGGCCAACCGTTAGAAGTAAAATCCAATACTTTCGACAAAACTGGGTCAAATTTAGTTGCTGTTGCAATTTCCTTGGAAGTGATTGGTAGTCGGTATGAAGCTGAAAAGAATGAAATTTCACCTTCTTCCTCAGATGTCTCACATGGTAGCCGCGTCAGTGCATCGGCATTCGAAATTTCTTCCCCTCTTTTGTAGCGAATATTGTAGTCGTAAGCCGCAAGTGTTAGAGCCCATCGTTGTAACCGTGCTGCAGCCAGAGTCGGTATCCCTTTTGTTGGACCTAAGAGGAAAGTGAGTGGCCTATGGTCAGTCACAAGGGTGAATTTTCTACCATACAAGAAGTTGTGGATTTTCTTCACTGCAAAGATGATAGCCAGTGCTTCCTTCTCAATTTGGCTATACTTAACCTCACACTTGGATAAGGCTCTTGACGCGAATGCGATTGGTCGTTCTGCCCCGTCAGGTAGGTTATGAGCAATCACACATCCAATTCCGTAGCTGGAACTGTCAGAGGTTACAATAATGTCCAATTCAGGGTTGTAAGGCATTAGAACGTTGTCCTTAACGAGTAGATTCTTGCACTGCAAAAATGTAGCTTCGCATTCTTTGCACCAATTCCACGTTACATCCTTATTCAATAGCCTATATAAAGGATGGAGCAAAGTTGACAGGTTTGGCAGAAATTTGCCATAGAAATTGACTAAGCCTAGGAAAGATCGCAGCTGCGTAACATTTTCAGGCTTCGGAGCGTTTGCAATAGCCTTCGTAAGGTCATCCGATTGATGAATTCCCTTTTCATCAATTCGATACCCAAGAAATTTCAGACTTTTCTGAAAGAATTCACTCTTTGACGTGTTAATTTGAACGCCATATTGACTCAAGCGTTTCAACACCGCATCTACTTTAGTACACATGTCTTGTGTATTTATACTGTAAATCAAAATATCATCCAGGTAACATACTGTACCCTCTAACCCAAACAAAATTTTGTCCATTGTAGCTTGGAATAGCGCCCCAGCGCTAGTAATACCATATGGAAGTCGAGCATATCGATAAAGACTTTTATGAGTATTAATAGTTAGAAGTTCCTGTGAGCTTTGGCTAACTTTTAGTTGACTATAAGCAGCCGTCAGATCTAACTTAGAGAAACACTTGGATCCTGATATTTTTGCAAAAATGTCTTCAGGGTTAGGAAGAGGGTAGTGGCCGGTTCTTAACCAGGGGTTGACAGTAGATTTAAAGTCGCCACATAGGCACACTCCTCCATTATTTTTCGGAACCACTACTGTGTAAATATATGTGAATCTGGCAGCGAGGAAGATGAATCACCCGCTGGCCAGCCAGACTTGGATTATGAATTAGGCCTTCATACAATAGCCTACGCTAACCAGTCACAATCTAAAGTAAATAGTTTTGTGACAACTGTTATGATTAATAAGGTCCCGATTGAGATGGTTGTGGATACTGGGGCTGTAGTTACAGTTATGCCTCATAATATTTATTTTGAAAATTTTTATAAAAAGGAAACCAAACTGGAAGAGTGTCATATAAAGTTGAAAACCTACACTGGAGAGGATATAAATGTTCTTGGAAAGTTTCAGGCTAATATTAGCACCAACACAGGAGACAGCCAGCATCTGCCGATTGTCGTCATCGAGAGCGCCGGAGCGCGCCAGCCATCGCTACTGGGACGTAATTGGCTAGAAAAGCTTAAACTGGATTGGAGTTCAATGGGACAGGATCATCAATACTGAATTCAGCTTTCTACTGCATCATTTAGTATCTTTGTGTAAGATTCAAATTTTTGTGGCGGTGCAGGTAAGTTCATTAGCGGGCAAAATGTTTTAGCCGCTCCAAGCCCACGCCCAATGGATCTCATGGCATAAACAAACATTAAATTTAAGCCATACTTGTTAGTTTGTGTATTGAAAGGCGAGTTGTAGAATTTAGTAGATTGTAAACAAAGGTTACACTTCATCTCAATGTTTACTGTCAAACCATGTCTACCAGTTTCCATTATATTAAGTTCGATACAATCTTCAGAATCGCAGAGACTACATCTCGACTTTGCCTCATTTGAAGGAAAGGAGTTCCTAATCTTGGTTGATGGTCACTCCAAATGGATTGAAGTCTTTTACATGCCAACTACAACAGCTAGGCAAACCATAGAAAAACTGAGGCATTGTTTTGCAACGTTTGGCTTACCAACTACTATTGTAACTGATGGTGGTCCCCAATTTACATCCCAAGAATTTAATGAATTTTTAAGTTATAATGGAATCCATCATGTCTTGTCTCCGCCTTATCACCCAGCCTCAAATGGACTCGCCGAGAGAGCAGTCCAGACAGTGAAACATGCTCTTCACAGGCAATTGCTGCATGATGCGGAATACAACCAATCCCGGTCGCTTCAGCATCGAATAGACTCATTTTTGTTCTCATACAGGAATACCCCACACACCATAACCAATGTGACCCCTTCAGAGGCTGTGTTTAAATTCAAGCCTAGAACTCAACTTAGCTTGCTGAAACCTCATTTAGCAGACCAAATGCTTAACAAGCAAGAAAGTATTGTCAAGAGTGCCAATGCTCATCGTGGAAAGCAACGAACATTCACACTTCAAGACAAGGTTTATGTAAAAACAGTACGTAACGAGAAGATCAATTGGCAGCCTGGCGTTATCACCAAAGTAATAAGTCCAGTAACATATTTGGTCAAAGTCGACAACCGAAGTAGATTTGTTCATGCAGACCACCTGAGGGTAAATCTTTCGGAGGGGGAAGATGGTGACAGTGATAGTGATATCTTGGTACAATCTCCGAGAGAACTTTACCAGAGCCCGGCGGAACATCGAATATCGCCAGCCAAACAGCAAGGGTCACCAGCGAAACCAAAATCACCAAATCAAGGAACCCGCACATCACCTATGGCAAAACCAATAGTATCACCCAACGGCACAAATCAAGGAAGCCCAGCCACACTCCGTCGCTCTAACAGGACCATTAGAGCGCCTCGGAGATTGGAGATGTAAGAAGACGCAAGAAGATATATCTCCCCCAAATGTTGTGTACATAAGTTTTAAAAGTAAGTTAAGTTTTTTATTTGGTTGGGAGGAGATGTTGTAATTAAGAAGAATTAGCCTAAGTTATTATTTGAACAATGTAGAGTAGAAGGACAATTAGTGACCTTTGGAACCTGGGTTTGGAGATAAGCCCCCTCCCCTACGAGAGCAAGACGATGCTTCAGTTCGAGCTGAGATCCAGGTATGACAAGACGAGTTATAATCTGTTCCGATCTAGGCTATATCCTATACTCTAATACGAGCAAAGTTTGCTTGTATGTATGTATGTATGTATGTATGTATGTATGTATGTATGCTTGCACCAAGATCTCGAAAACGGCTCCGACGATTTTCTTCAAATGTTGTATATAGTTTATTTCTGGCCTAAAAACGAGTTTACTGCCGTTAGAACTGCCAACAAAAATCTAATTACGTAGAAAAATGAAACTGAAAATCACATTTTTTTAACATTAGTCTTATGGGTTGCTAGGTAACCATGTTGGCTGAATTAAATAACAAGGAGAAAGTAAACAAAAGACTTGTAATTTGTCTATCCACAGTATACTAGCAAAACAAAATACAGTACAAAAGGAAAAACATCAGTTGTTACTATTGAGCAAAGATTATACTGAAGATTACTCGATTCTATAGTCAAGGGTAGCAGTGTGGAGTGTGGGATCTGTTTATGACGATTAGATTACGGTATCTGCAATCCTTAAATGCTATGGAAAGGGAGGAAAACAGGTCCACGACATAGGAAGTGGTGAAGGAAGTAGTAAAGGCGAGCAGTCTGGAGTGTGGGAACTGTTTATGACGATTAAATTAAGGTATCTGCAATCCTTAAATGTAATAGGAAGGGAGGAAAACAGGTCCATGACGTAGGAAATGGGGAAGGAAGTTGTAAGGATAGCAGTGTAGAGTGTGGGAATCGTCTGTGGCATTTATGTATCTGCAATTCTAAAATAGTATAAGGAAGGAGGGCAAACAGGTCTACGACATAGGGAGTGGTGAAGGAAGTAGTAAGGGTGAGCAGTCCGGAGTGAGGGAATTGTTAATAACGATTAGATCAAGTTATCTAACAATCCTAAAATTCTATGGGAAGGGAGGGAATCAGGTCCGCAACGTAGGAAGTAGTGAAGGAAGTAGTAAAGGCGATCAGTCTGGAGTGTGAAAACTGTTTATGACGATTAGACTAAGGAATCTACAATCCTAAAATGCTATGGGAATGGAGGGAAACAGGTCCGCGACGTAGGAAGTGGTGAAAGAAGTAGTAAAGGCGAGCAGTCCGGAGTGTGGAAACTGTTTATGACGATTAGATTAAGGCATCTGCAATCCTAAAATCCTATGGAAAGGGATGGAAACAGGTTCACGACGTAGGAAGTGGTGAAGGAAGTAGTAAAGGTGAGCAGTCCGGAGTGTGGGAACTGTTAATAACGATTAGATCAAGTTATCTACAATCCTAAAATGCTATGGGAACGGAGGGAATCAGGTCCGCGACGTAGGAAGTGGTTAAGGAAGTAGTAAAGGCGAGCAGTCTGGAGTGTGGAAACTGTTTATGACGATTAGATTTAAGGAATCTACAATCCTAAAATCCTATGGGAAGTGATGGAAAGAGGTCGGCGACATAGGAAGTGGTGAAGGAAGTAGTAAAGGTGAGCAGTCCGGAGTGCGGGAAATGTTTATGAAGATTAGATTAAGGTATCTACAATCCAAAAATGCTATGGGAATGGAGGTAAACAGGTCTGCGACGTAGGAAGAGGTGAATGAAGTAGTAGAGGCAAGCAGCCCGGAGTGTTGGAACTGTTAATGACGATTAGATTAGGGTATCTGCAATCCTAAAATGCCGTTGGAGGGGAGAGAAACAGGTCCGCGACGTAGGAAGTGGTGAAGGAAGTAGTAAAGGTGAGCAGTCTGGAGTCTGGGAACTGTTTATGGGAATTACATTAAGGTATCTACAATCCTAAAATGGTACGAGAAGGGAGGAAAACAGGTCCATGACGTAGGGAGTGGTGAAGTAAGTAGTGAAGGTGAGCAGTGTGGAGATTGGGAGTGGATTAATGTCTCTGCAATACTTTTCAGAGTAAACTAATAGTTTTCCCCGAGCAAAGCTTGGTCCCCAGGTACTTAGTTTGTTAAATCAAGTTAGTAAACTAAAGTATTTAAACATATGTTTTCCGGGGTAAAACACACACTATGAGCAACATTGCTGAGATGGATAACGTGATGACCACTGAGGCGGCTACACCGATGGACCTGAAGACTGCATTAAACACCTGCAAGAACAACTCACCAACGTACACCAGACTGACCGACTTGATTGATGAGGTCCCATACCTAATAACGATGATGGAGAGAGCGGTTACACCATTCGGCGAGACAATCATCGTCATCCTTGAGGGCCAGACGGGAGATGACTACTACCTGAGAGTTTATCTGCCGAGACGCTTCAATGATGTGGTGAGCAATACCGACATCGATCGCTACAACAATGGCTTCGGAGATCGCCTTCGCTTGGTGAAACACTCACCCAGGCCCGGCACATCATTCACTCCGTTGGAATTTGTGTAAATATTGCAAAGCAAGAAAACATCAAGACTTGTTACTCCCCAAAACAACACATATGCATATCGAGCGTATGTTGAAACGTTAATGAACTACGGATACGATGCTAGAAAATCACATCTAACATGCAGTCTTTGGTACACTGACGATGCTATTGACATGAACGATTGCGCGGAAGAAAATGAAGGACTCAAAGCGAGACGGGAACTAACTAATAAAAGCCGTGAGATTGATATGCTCGGACATTTGCATGTGGATATTTGCAATCAGAATAAGTTCATGCTAAATGGCGTAGAGTTGAGATTTAAATTTATTCGATCAAAAGATGCGTTCTCTATTATGGCCAGTGCTGGTGAATTCAAGGTACATATTGTCGATATTAGTCTCTGGATTCGAAGATGCAAAATAAGTCCCACCGCACTGTTGGCGCACAGTAAAACACTCCAGACTGGTACGGCAAAATATCCAATCACACGAGTGGAGCTGAAAACATTCACACTGCCCTGTGGAATACGTAACAAGACTTTGGCCAAGAGCCGAAACGCGTCATAGTGGGAATGGTTACGAATGCCGCATACAATGGAGATTTTAAAAAGAATCCCAACAACTTCGAACATTTTAAAACAAACTTCTTTTGTCTATATGTTGACGGAGAACAAGTTCCATCAAAACCGTTACAGCCCCACTTTGAAAAATCAAAGGATAAATATGTTATGGCATATCATTCGATGTTCTCCGGTTCTGGTGTACATTTTAGCGATAATGGCACTGTTATCAGTAGGGAAGACTTTGGTCGAGGATACTGTCTGATGGCATTCGACCTAACACCAGATTTATCTGCAAGTGACACTACACATTGGAATCTGGTGCGTAACGGTAGTGTTCGAATGGAACTCGGATTCGACGATGCGCTTACCGAAACTGTCAACTGTTTGGTTTATGCCGAGTTTGACAATGTTATCGAGATTGATCGACAGCGTAATGTAATTGTGGACTTTGGCGGTTAATCGATCAGTCTTCAATAAACATTCGTTTGAGATGGACCGTTTACGCAGAGCATTCAAGAAATTGAACATATCATCACCCATCATTGTGGACATTCAATGTTTCAAGAACAATCAAAATGAATATACACTGAAGGAAGTTTGCGTCTTGGAAGCTGACACCGGCGTACTACTTATGCATCATATTGCTAAACCACCTTACGATCGATCAGAGTTATCAGATGAAAAACTGAGGGAAAGCTACTGGCTCACAAAACACTGCCACGGACTACGATAGGAGTTCGGTGATATTGCGTACTATGAACTTTTTAACAAATTGACTAATTGTATATCAAAAAGACCGACGGTTTACGTCAAGGGATTTTAAAAGAAAGAATATTTAAAGCGTCATCATGTGATGGACTTTGTTACTACCAATTTAATCGATATCGGTGCAATTGGTTGCGAATCAATCACTTCAATCAATAATTTAATGTCAACAAACGTTTTACGATGTCGAAATCACAAGTCTACAAACAGTCGATGTGCTCTCACCAACTGTGTCGCAATACGTGGGTGGTTGCATTTGACAACAAATTTGGACGAATGTCTGGATACCAGCGGAGATGCGAGATCCTACTACTGTTCTTGTTTTAGCACCTCTACTAGTACAACAAAAACAGCACCTACTGCTACTATTGGTTATGATACTGTAGAATGAACACGCTACAGATTGAAAAATATCTAGCCACACTGCCTGTGCGCAATGTTGGAGTCTACGTTGCTGATAGAATCCCATGACGCATCTCACCACACACTGCAATTATTGTAAACACTGATCCACACAATGAAGACGGGACTCACTGGGTGGCTTTCTATTTGAATCGAGAAGGGATGCTTGAATATTTTGATAGTTACGGCCAACCGCCATACTAGTAGGGGGCTTTGGTCACCCCTGGGTCCATGACTCAGCAGTTTTTAAAATTCTGAATTGCAGATTTTAAATTGCATGACTCAGCAGTTTTTAAATTGGAAAAGTTTGTCTTAAGCTTTAGGATCATCGTTAATTTATCCATCCAAATCTTAGTCATGGCATTTTTATTTTATTTTTTTGTAATATATTCTTATTTTGAGTTGGTAGTTGTGTGACTATGCACATGCTGGAAAAGTAGCATACTTAATCTTTCATATTGTTGCTGCTGTTCCCTCATTAATTTGTTTACTTCCCGTTTTAGAGTTCGGACATTTACGGCATCAGTGTCGTTTACACCATCACCTAAATTTCGTATTTGATTATTAGAAGCATCGAAGCTCCCAGGATTGAAAAGTTCGTTTGGACTCTTATTCTTCATCAAACAATGGTTTTTTAAATAACTTAGATTTATAGCATCATTATCTAATGTTGGTTCTCCAACATTTTGCAATATCCGATTCTTCATGTCGTAATTACCACTAGGAGTTAAGATTAAGCTCTCTTGGGATTGATTGATATTTTCTTTCCGAAGAACATAGTCTTCATGACGTCCGAACTTGTCTACACTCATTTTTGTACTGAATCCTCAACACGTGTGAAACAGTAATAAATACTTTCTTGAAATTAGGTCAAGGTCATTCAGAGTAATTTTAAAAAAATAAACATATTGACCTAACGAATTAGGTCAATATGTTTATTTTTTATTATTTTTTTATTTTTTTTTTATTTATTTTTTTTTTCTTATTACAATTGTCACACATACCATTTTCTAAGAATACAATGTCTAACAATAATAGATGTTTCAAATTTACAATTAATTATTTACAAATTTACAGGACTAGAGTAGTTGAAGTGTTAATTCTGTCGAGTTATTTCCTGTTTGACCGTGAGAGACAAGACATAGTTTTCCAGCTTCAATCGACTCCACATCTTCATTTTGAAGCAATGTAACAAATCGCTTTGGAAGATAAATTTGAAATCGAGGCATGTCTCCTCCCTTGTAAGGCGCTTCACTTAATGCTGCAACGATTCCATCACCAACAGATGTATCCACTTTTTTCATAAAGTGAATTATGTACTGTTTCTTTTCCTTCAGCTCAAAGCATTTTTTAATCGGTAGTATGCTTGATTTTGATTGTTGATTAAATAAATCCACCAAGGTCTGCAGTTTTGAGTCAGCCATTATTTGTGTTGAATGATGATATTAGGGATGTTGAGATAATACTGTTGAGCTCCTGGCTCCAAAACTCTATTTATGCCTATACCCCCACCACTCTATCCCCTCCACTAAGGCTCACTTTATTTCACTTTCTAGTGTTGCTTTTAAACCATAAGCATTAGATATGGTACAGTTAGAAAATCTTTGTTTGTTGCATCTAACACCAATGCATATTCCAGGAAAACTTTGCTCTTTTTTTCTCATAATGTTATAAACTGTTGCTCTTGAAGGGACATACAATGATAAAAATTCACACTTTTCTAAACCTGATGTAAAAATAAACTTGTACTTGCTACAATATTTTATCAGTATGTTTTCAAGTTCGCTGTATTCCACAAATCCTTCATGCCATGATAAATGATGGAAGAATTTCGAAAGCCACTTGTTGGTTCTTGAATTCTTTTCATTAAGATTATGAAATGGAAACGGTGCTTTAAAAAGAAAGTAGTTTGTTACGCCAGATTTTAGATCTAAAATAACTAATTCTTTCACTATGTATTCATCATTGTTTCCTCTGAATGCTTGAAACTCAATTACACAAGAGTTGTGTTCAGATAAACAAGAAAATTCTTTCCATCGGTACTTTTGTGCATCCATCATGAATATCCGTATGCAACTGCAATTTTGCACAGTTAACTTCAATTATATGTGTTTCCCCCACCACTTGTTAAATACATTGTGTAAAAGCTTCTCTGTTTCATTAACTACTTCATAATCATTTCTTCACTTTTTATCTTAACTGATTCTTCTTCCATTACACTCAAGTCATTTATTGTGTTTTGAGGGAGTGTACATATCAAGTTACGGAACAGATAAACCTCTTGTGGCAATCTGTTGTATATTGAATTATCTATCGGGCTATAGATCAAAGGAGTGTCCTGTCCATCTTCAATCGTATTCACCAAATAATCTTTAATTGTTGTTTTAGATGACTCTAGTTGGTGCATGTATCTTTCAATAGCAGGTATAGAATTAATCAATATTTCCAATTCATCTCTGTTAAGAAGCACCTTATCATCGTGGGATGAAAGGTTTCTAACTCGTACAAATAAATCACCACGAACTTTAATATTACCAACTTCAATATCAGAACTTTCCACAGTTATATTAGTTTTCTTCCCATATACTTTGTTAATGAGGTAGCAATGAATTAGGTGTATGGATTTGTTAAAAGAGTTCCATGAATCTTCAAAAAATGTTATTTGTTTTCCTCCATGATTGAGTAAAACACCTGGTGAATAATCCAGAAATTTACAAAATCCAACCGTAACATTTTTGTTGGTGCATACGGATAAGGGATATACAATGCGCAAAAATATTTCACTCAACATGAAAAAAGGAATGCACTCTTGTTGTTTTTTCATACGTTTGTTTGATGTTTTCTTTTCAATGATTATTTTTTCTTGTTGGTTATTTTGGATCATTTCATTGGTATTGGTTGTATCATCTGTGTTATCTTCATTGATTTTTCTTTTCAAATTTTGCGTCAACAAATATTGTTCATTGTTAGAATTTTCAAGATCGTTTTCTTTTAGAAAATAACTGTCGTTTTCCGACTCGTTGTGTAAATTTCCGAAAACCTCCATTTTGTTGAAACCGATGTTTCCACGATGAATGTGCTTTCAAGTCTGAACCTTTTCATGTGTGTCCACTCATATTTATACCGATTTCAAGATATTAGGATGGGGATAGGTGTCATATTACAACACTTTTTTTACAATCCCTGTAAGCGGGGTGTATGTGACAATTGAATCATGCAAGATCAAACAGTAAGCCGTAGTGTTTGCAGGGATATTATCTTCAAACTCTAGTTCCAAACGAATGTCAACTGTTGATGATTTTAACGATTCATTTTGTTTTGAACAGTCAATAACAATTATTGGGGCATCGGACGCAAACATTTTAGGGTCAAGCAGGGGTGAGTTTGTTTTTCCATAGTAGGATGATTGAAATCTTGCATACATATCATACAGTAGAGAAAATCTGTTTTTTGTAAATGTAACATTTAAGTTGTCATATGGAAAAAACTGAGAATTGAGAAACAACTTGACATTTGTAAGATTACAATGGTCAAATTTTCCTGCATGTTTAGTTATTTCATTTCTTTTTCCAGTTTGCAATGCAAATATAACATATCTTGGTTTCTCTAGTTGAGTAGAGGTTTTTATGCTCCATGTGTGTCTTTGTGTAGTTGGGAGAGATGGGTATTCGTGCATTTCCCAACTCCTAAAGGGTAACACAATTTCCCGGTCCGAATTTAACTGCTTCAGAATAGCTAAGCGATGTTCATCAGCTATTTTAAGATGAGGTACTCTCCAAACAATCTTATCTAGAAAAACTTTCCACTCCAATTTATCTGAGGTTGTTCCATCAGGTGCAACAATCAAATCATTGTTTGTTGATGAGCGTAATAAAACCAACTCATGTTTTATATTAATTATTATCCTTTTATAGTCCTCTGTAAATCCAAGTAGCATCCAAAGTGGCACGCAAAAATCAAAGTATCCATTGGACGAAGGTGTAAAAGAGTTATGAGAAGGTAGTACCCAACCAGATGTATGTAGACTATTAGTTTCCTTGGATGATAAAGAAACAAGGTTTTTTAAAGTACTAGAAATGCCTACTCGCTTAGTAGAGTCTACTGTAATCCCTGATAATTCATACCTGATTTCTTCGAATAGATACGACATTGGATTGTTAATAAATGGCACAGTTGAGCCTGCTGTCATTCCATCTTTTTTAGTTACCCTACCTTCTATGTATAGGTAACTTTCACAAGGTAATGTGTAAGCATCCTGTTGTTGAATTGGTATACGAATTTCATCGTTATTT